ACACACACACACACACACACACACACACACACAACACGGTATATATATATATAGCCATTCATTCATACATTCATCTATTCACTTATTTAATCATTCCTTCCTTCCTTCATCTATCTGCTCTCATTCATCCTTCCATCTATTCATTCATGTCCTTTTTCTCTCTATTATTCAGCTATTCAGTCACTCACCACTGATTCGTCCTTATGGGCGTTTGGATACTGGAAAGCCATTATTCAGAGATCTTCCGAGCTGTTGAACAGATGAAATAATGTTATGAGTGTTGTTGGAGAGCTTAGCGTGTTTGAGAGCCGCAGCACAAAGTCCGGAATCAACAGCCAAAGACTCCGTACAAAGACAAACGCGCTGCTGGAAAGAGCGCTGGAGTCCGCACAGCGCCCTCTGCTGTTCCCTCACAAACACGCCAGGCCGTGATCACGCATCATGAATATTAATTAGGTTCTGAATATTAATTAGGTTCTGCTACGTTCATTCTGAATATTAATATGCCAGTCTTTCACTGACTGCACTGTAAGTGGTTTTTATTATCTTGTTAATTATGTTTATTGCAATCCATAGGCCTACAATTTAATTTTATTGCATTTTACTTTTATTCAATGTCATTTGTTGCACATTTTCATTTCTTCTCTTTTATGTAGGCCTAGCTACTTTATGGAGATCGCTGCACAGCGCGTGTATAAACAAACGACGTCTCGGGTGCAAGATCTTCAGTGAATGCGAAATGAAAAATACGAATGAATTCGAAAGACTTGAAATAACGCACAAGAAATATTATATGTCTTATTTTATGGTACTTTTATGTGCTGTTTGGAGCTTGACAATAACCATCCCCTCATCCCTCTCATGAAGGGGAGTAAATGACCTCTTTTTTACAAAACCATTACGCCTATGGAGAGTCCCCATAAACCATAAAAACAAACCTGTGTGTGTGTGTGTGTGTGTATGTATATATATAGAAAAAAACAAAAAACTAAATTACTAAAACTAGTAAATAGTATCTTAATTATACTAAAATAACACTGGCATTTCACAAGCACGCTTTTCAATCATAATATATTTCACAAATAATGTTTGATGGATTTAAAAAAGATAAAACTACAGATAGACTGTGTAGTAATGTGATGAACTACTCTGCTAAGATTAATATGTGAACCTGAGGTGAACTGACGTCATACATCCACTAAAAATCAATTCATTAAATGTTACATTTATATGCTCATGCACAAAATTGCTTCATATTTCAGTGTTCACAAAGCAATTTTACATATAAAGTGGCTCTTTGTTGTCTTAACCACAAACACAATGTTTTTTTTAATGATTATTTTTGAATGGTGTGTCATCAGAAGGTGCTGGGGGTTTTCACCACAGAGGTCATTCCTGCAGGTACCCACTTCGGCCCGCTGCTCGGAGAACATCTTCACCCTAAACATTTGCCTGCAAACATCAACGGAAAACACATCTGGATGGTACGTCAGCAGATGTGAGAAAGATAAGAAGCGTGTTTGTGTGTGTGTGTGCGAGAGATCGAAAACCATTTTGAGTCATTGGGGTTCATATTTACCAGTCATGCTTCAGGGGTGTGTGCGCTCGTGTTGGGTTTCTCTGACGCACTGCTCCCCGCTTACATGTGCCAGTAAAGCTACACACTCGTGTCTCACACACTGACTCAGCAAGGAAGTGGCTGACAGGAGCGCGCACACACACACACACACACATAAAGAGAGAGCAGTGTTTCCAGAAAACCTTAATAGATCATTCTGATGCATTTGCATTTCACATGTCACATTCAGTCAATATTTCTGATGTATACGTTCATTTTCTCAGGGTTAGAAATTTGTGGGGGGAAAATGGCCTCAAAATCCTAAAATATAAAAAATTTATAAAACTATAAATTCATACTGTAATAATGTCTTATACAATCAAAAATGTTTAAAAAAGTATTTTTACAGGTGTATACAATAGGAAATATGCAATAAATACTTATTTAGACTGATAATTTACACTACCATTTAAAAGTTTAGAGTCAGTAGGTTTTTTTTAAATACTTTTATTCAGCAAGGATTCATTAAATTGATCAAAAGTGTGAGTAAATACATTTATAATGTTACCAAATATATTTATTTTAAATAAATGCTCTTCTTTTGAACTTTACATTCATCAAAGTATCCTGATTTACACAAAATAACTGTTTACAACACTGACAATAATCAGAAATGTTTCTTGAGCAGCAAATCAGCATATTCGAATGATTTCTGAAGGATCATGTGACACTGAAGACTGGAGTAATGATGCTGAAAATTCAGCTTTGATCACAGGAATAAATTACATTTTAACATATATTCAAATAGAAAACAGTTATTTTAAATTGCAATAATATTTCACAATATTGTTGTTTTTACTGTATTTTTGATGAAATGAATACAGCCTCAGTGAGCATAAGATATGACCCGAAACGTTTGAACAGTAGTGACACATAGTATGTTTTATTGGCCTATACTAAATTATGCACTCATAAATGAAAAAAAAAAATCTAGAGGGTAAATATTGCTTTAAATTGAAATGAATTTGCTCTCTCTGTATGAACACATCAAACGCAAAGCATGCAAGTGCAATCTCTTAAGTTCAATATTATACTGGGAGAACTAAACTGAAAAAAGAAAGAGAGAAAGAGAACCAGGTGTTGTAGGGTCAAACAGTCGAGCTGTTCAACCGGCAGCTAAAAGACTGAATCAACAACTAAACCACAAACCCTCACTTTCACACAGTCGCTCACGCAAACAGATGTGCACTTTCAATCTGAGAACAAAACACTAATGCGGTTTCATTTCCTAAACCCGTCAGGATGCTTATTAGTGCTTGCTATGCATAACTACTGCTATTGCTCATACTGACACTGGTGGATGATTAAAACAAGGTGAAAAAATTTTCATTTTTAATCTTCTAATTCTGTTTTTATTCTCTTACAAAGATCTTCTCAGAGGGGCAATTGCATCACTTCCTGTCTTGTGAGGATGAGAGAGGCAGCAACTGGATGCGCTTTGTAAACTATGCCCCGTCTCCTTGGCAACAGAATCTTGCCACATTCCAAATTGGAATGCAGATTTACTTCTATGCCATGAAGGTTCTAATGCCGGGGGAGGAGCTGCTGGTGGGGCGGAGCCTAAAACACGAGCAGCCAATGAGCACCAGCCTCAGAACTGCCTGTCTAAAACAGCCACTTCCCACACACTGTGAGTGACAGCCACATCTGTTTCTTGCTATTCTGAGCCATACACCTAGAATGATTTGAAATTAATGCATTTATTTTATCAGCAATATTTCAAGGGATAACAGCTTCTAAGCTTCAAATTAGCTTCATTTACTAGATTTGACACTTTTAATTTCATTGCAAGACTGCGATGATCTTTTATTATGAGATTTTGTGCTATTTTGCTTCCATACCATGTCGTCTTTCTATGGGATGATATTAGACTCAAAATGATTAATAGATGCACACACAATTATCCATGTACTGCATCAATTTTATACATTTATCTTACTAACCACAAATAAATGCATTTCAATTTGAGTCTGTGGAATTCTGGATTAAACGATTGTGCAGCGATTTGTACAAATACAGACATGTTTGCAAATAAAAATGTTCTGTTCTGCATTAATATATCATAAATTGCTCATGCAAAAAGGAATCCGTGCATATGTGGATCAAGTGACACGACGTCTAGTTCGAGTCGATCTTGTTCGGTTCATTTGGATTTTGAGACTTAATTTTCGCAGTTTACAGCATTTCACGTCCCCCCCACACACAACTACCAACGAACAAGGTCCAGTGCAATTCATTAATGTGTACACGATTTGAAAAATTCGCAAATGTGCGTCACTACACTGAAACAAATGCTTTTCAACCGGTGTCTGCAGAGTTAAGAATTACATTTATGTGCAGAATTTTGTTCAAATAGAGACATATTTGTGAATAGAAATATTATAGTTTGTATTAAAGTATCATAATTTGTGCATGTAGCGATTAAAATGTGCATTTGTGGGACAGGTGACGCGTGCATTCATTCACGTCTCTTCTGAGTCGATTCTATTTGATTCATTTTAATTTTGAGACTTTCGTTCCGCCCTTTTAGCCTTGCCCAATCCACACACACACACAGCTCGCGATCCACGCGCAGCTGAGCCACAGAAAATCAGCCACCACTAGATGGCACTAGCCCCAGTCACATGTGCGCATTCCATTGAGTACGGTTTCATGAATGTTACAATTGTTGTGTTTTCTTAGTTTCTTTTTGGTTTGGCTATTTTCCTCTACCGTAGAAATATAATAAAGATGTTTTATTGAACTTGTTCTAACTTAACTTGTCTTAAGACACAGAATAGCTCATATTAATTTTGCCAAACAAGAACTTTGTGAATAATTACCAGTCAGGGTCTTTGGGAAAACGATGAAAGGCAAGATTTTTACTGTCACACTGATGGTTTTTTCTGTGGATTGCCCAACATTGCGTTCTTTTATTCCACGTTGACCGCTCTTTCGTTGTTATTCTGTCTATTTCTGTATATCTGTGCTGTTGTCCAGTTGGAATTTTCACCCCAAAATGGCGGCCGCGCTTTTCAATTTGAGTCTGTGGAATTCTGGATTAAACGATTGTGCAGCGATTTGTACAAATACAGACATGTTTGCAAATAAAAATGTTCTGTTCTGCATTAATATATCATAAATTGCTCATGCAAAAAGGAATCCGTGCATATGTGGATCAAGTGACACGACGTCTAGTTCGAGTCGATCTTGTTCGGTTCATTTGGATTTTGAGACTTAATTTTCGCAGTTTACAGCATTTCACGTCCCCCCCACACACAACTACCAACGAACAAGGTCCAGTGCAATTCATTAATGTGTACACGATTTGAAAAATTCGCAAATGTGCGTCACTACACTGAAACAAATGCTTTTCAACCGGTGTCTGCAGAGTTAAGAATTACATTTATGTGCAGAATTTTGTTCAAATAGAGACATATTTGTGAATAGAAATATTATAGTTTGTATTAAAGTATCATAATTTGTGCATGTAGCGATTAAAATGTGCATTTGTGGGACAGGTGACGCGTGCATTCATTCACGTCTCTTCTGAGTCGATTCTATTTGATTCATTTTAATTTTGAGACTTTCGTTCCGCCCTTTTAGCCTTGCCCAATCCACACCCACACACAGCTCGCGATCCACGCGCAGCTGAGCCACAGAAAATCAGCCACCACTAGATGGCACTAGCCCCAGTCACATGTGCGCATTCCATTGAGTACGGTTTCATGAATGTTACAATTGTTGTGTTTTCTTAGTTTCTTTTTGGTTTGGCTATTTTCCTCTACCGTAGAAATATAATAAAGATGTTTTATTGAACTTGTTCTAACTTAACTTGTCTTAAGACACAGAATAGCTCATATTAATTTTGCCAAACAAGAACTTTGTGAATAATTACCAGTCAGGGTCTTTGGGAAAACGATGAAAGGCAAGATTTTTACTGTCACACTGATGGTTTTTTCTGTGGATTGCCCAACATTGCGTTCTTTTATTCCACGTTGACCGCTCTTTCGTTGTTATTCTGTCTATTTCTGTATATCTGTGCTGATTTGTGGGACAGGTGACGCGTGCATTCATTCACGTCTCTTCTGAGTCGATTCTATTTGATTCATTTTAATTTTGAGACTTTCGTTCCGCCCTTTTAGCCTTGCCCAATCCACACACACACACAGCTCGCGATCCACGCGCAGCTGAGCCACAGAAAATCAGCGACCACTAGATGGCACTAGCCCCAGTCACATGTGCGCATTCCATCAGTACGGTTCTGTGAATGTTACATTGTTTTCTTTGTTTCTTTTTGTTTTGGCTATTCTCCTCTGCCCGTAGAAATATAAGATGTTTTATTGAACTTGTTCTAGCGTAACTTGTCTTAAGACACAGAATAGCTCATATTAATTTTGCCAAACAAGAACTTTGTGAATAATTACCAGTCAGGGTCTTTGGGAAAACGATGAAAGGCAAGATTTTTACTGTCACACTGATGGTTTTTTCTGTGGATTGCCCAACATTGCGTTCTTTTATTCCACGTTGACCGCTCTTTCGTTGTTATTCTGTCTATTTCTGTATATCTGTGCTGTTGTCCAGTTGGAATTTTCACCCCAAAATGGCGGCCGCGCTACCGCTACAGAAGCGCCACCTAGTGGCTGTTACCCAAAAAGCATCAGCGTTTCGCCTCTTGGTCTTCTATACTCTTTGATTCAGTTCGATTTGTGAACCGGCTCAACCGGTTACTTCCTGAGAACCGGCTCAAAAGAACGATTCGTTCAAGAACCTAACATCACTACAATTAATGCACGCGTATCAGAACAGAACATTTTTATTCGCAAACATGTCTGTAATTGTACAAATCGCTGCACAATCATTTAATCCTGAATTCCACAGACTCAAATTGAAAGGTATTTGTTTGTGGTTAGTAAGATACATGTATAAAATGTATGCAGTACATGGATAATTGTGCGTGCATCTATTAATCATTTTGAGTCTAATATCATCCCATATCTTTCGGGCTAGTGTGGAAGAAAACATCAAAAATACACATTTAAGAGTTGATTTTATTGTACTTTATCTATCTGCATCTGTAGATTTCAATAACAACACATATCTTTAAAGCCGGTTTTCTCAAAATGATTTTTCCTCCTACAATGAGTCAGACTTCTCCACTTCAGTAGCACTTACATAAACCACAGTTTATAGTCTTATTCATATCTATATCCTGAAGGTTTTTACAGAAGGGTTTGTTCATATATATTTCACCAGGCTTTGAACATTTTATTCCTGAAAACATGGTGATTTTTTTCTGGCTGTTGACAGTATTCTCTGATTTATGGAGTGATAAAAAGAAATCCAAAATCCCCTCTATAAAACCTTTAACTCTAGTATTTCGACAAAATGAAATAAGAATTTTGAACCTGACACACTTCTGTAAATGTATACAAATGAGTGCATATTTAATTAGATAATGCATAATTTGCATATTTAACATTTTAGAAAAAACGTTTGCAATTCTTAATGTAATCAATCAACTGAAGATATATTAACTAGTACATTTTTTAGCCTATTCAGCTAGGTCATCTTGCCTTAAAGATTTTTCTTCTATTTTAACAATTCGCTCAAATGTTTTCTGAATATTTTGTGTGTTTTCCTGCTTCAGCTCGTTCTCAGCATAAAGATGAAGTGAGGAGGAGAAAGCGAGGTCACACGGTCACTGAAATCCTGGATCTGGATCGCTGTACTGACCATCACACAGAAACTCTTCCAAACCAACCGTTTAACTCCATCACACAAACGAAATATGGGGAAAAAGGGACCAGAGACCTGCAGAATCCAAAATTACCTCCATTTTTAATGACTAATGCCACCTCTGAGGTCTCTTTAAACTTGAAAATGGCATCTAGTGTAGGGAAGCATGTATACACCTCTGCTATCCCACAATCCTCTATGCCAATGTATACATGGCCTGTTATTCAATACATGCCGTCACATCAGCCAGTGAGATTTGGCCGAATGTGCCATAATATTCCACCAATCCACATGTATCCATCTCTCTGGCATCCAACATCCAATGAAAATCATTTGTCATTAGTGTTGACCAATAGAGGCGACCCCGTAATTAAAGTGACAGACTCTGTAAAGAGAGAAACGAATCGTAAAGGCTCCACAAACCAACCACCAGCCCTCACTAAAGCAACCGATCCGTCTCCGGCTGAAGTGTCTAGTGCTAATGACATCACAGCCCAGAGAGACTCACCTGAGATGGGCGTGGCTTCCTCGGGTGTCTCCGCCTCCGCCTGTCACGGCACAGAGTCTCAGGCTGGCCAAAAGCGACAGACTGTAGGTTACAAGACTTTACCGTATCCATTACAGAGACAGAATGGAAAGATCCAGTATGAGTGTAACGTGTGCGGAAAGAACTTCAGTCAACTGTCCAATCTGAAGGTACAAGATGATGATATATAAGGAATTTGATTCTTTTTATCTAACATTTTTAGATTTTTTTTTATTATTGAAAAGGTATTAAAAATATATATCAGGGTTATTATAATTAACTAAAAGTAAAACCATTTAAAAAAAAAAAAAAAAAAAAATTTTCTTACTTAAAATAAAATAAACATGATCTGAAATAAAATATAAAAATCGAACTATTATTTTTTGGTTTTTATTTCCACTAGTTGCCAAGGCATCAGTCTTCATTTCATTCCATTTCACGAAAATAACTAAAACTAAAACTGAAATAATATTTTTTTAAATCTCCTAAAAATAACAAATGAACAACAAAATTAGTAAAACTGTAACGAAATTGAAAGTGAAATATATATAAAAAAAATTAATTCAAAATATTAAAAACTGTAAGGTTTTGTTTGTGGAGGTACATGCATACATTTGATAAATGGTCGAAATGTCTAAACTTTAATGCTTCAACATATATTCTATACTCGAGACATTAGGCTTGACGTTCTTTGTTTTACAATATGTATTTATGTTTTACATTTAGTTTTATTTAGTTTGTTTAATTATACTTTAATACAGTTTTTTCCCCCCTTTTTTTCTTTTTCCTTCAGGGGGGTAGGGTGGGGGGGTAATATGTTTTCATGATTCTCCTGTATCCTGTTGTTATTGTAAAAGTTCAATAAATAGATTTAATAAAAAATAAAAATATTTAAAACTATTATAGTATATCAATTATACATAAAAATAAAAATGATAATACAACAAAAAAGTTTTTGGAAATGTTTTTGAAAGAAGTCTTGCGGCTCAAGGCTGCATTTAGTTGATCAAAAATGCTGTAAAAACAGTATTACAATTTAAAAATAGCTGCTTCATATTCGAATATATTTAAAAAATATAATTTATTCCTGTGAATTTTCAGCATCATTACTCCAGTCTTCAGTGTCACATGATCCTTCAGAAATCATTCTAATGTGCTGATTTGCTGCTCAAAAAACATTTATTATTATCATCGATGATAAAAATATGTGCTACTTAATTTTATTATTATTATTTATTTATTTTTCGCTAAATCTCTCTCGGTTCTCGGCTTTCTGTTCTCCAGGTGCACCTGAGGGTTCACAGCGGTGAGAAACCATACAAGTGCAATATCTGCAGGAGGAACTTTTCCCAGCTGGCTCACCTTCAAAAGCACATCCAGGTTCATACGGGCGAGAAACCACATGAATGCCATGTAAGAGCACACAGAGGAACCTCTCACTGCTGTCTAGCAGAGTCAGTCGAGATCTCATGTGCTCATATGATGTGTCTCGTGTGCAGGTGTGTAACAGGCGCTTCAGCAGCTGCAGTAACCTGAAGACTCACCTGCGGCTGCACTCGGGCGAACGGCCGTACATCTGCAAGCAGTGCCCCGCCAGCTTCACCCAGCACATGCACCTGCGGCTGCACAGACGCCTGCACGCCACCCCACGCTCACACCACTGCCCGCACTGCTCTCGCAGGTACACACACCTGTGCAGCCTGCAGATCCACCTGCACCAGTTGTGCCCCGCCTCCAGCCTCACAGGCTCCGCCTCTCAGCTGTGCCGAGCCAATGACGAGATCCAGAGGTTTGATCTGAGTGAAGAGGCAGGGAAGCTTGAGGCTGGCATGGAGGCGGAGTCTATAAAGAAGATGTGTCAGGAGATCTGGGCGGTTGCAGCTCCACCGGTCACCCAGCAGGGAGCAGCACAGGCCCAAACAATGACACCTGATTCATCCAGCTCTCTTTCTCCAGAGGTTTCCATTAGACAGGAAGAAGGTGATCAGTAAATTGTCTGATATGTTATTATTGAATTAAATTAGCACTTTTATTCAGCAAGGATGCATTCAATTGATTTAAAACTAACAGTAAAGACTTTATAATGTAACAAAAAAAAATATTTCAAATAAATGCTGTTCTTTTGAACTTTCTATTCATCAAAGACTCCTTAAAAAACTGTTTCCATACATATTTGAAGCAGCACAACTCTTTTCAACATTGATAATAATCAGAAATGTTTCTTGAGCAGCAAAACAGCATATTAGAATGATTTCTGAAGGACACTGAAGACTGGAGTAATGATGCTGAAAATTCGGCTTTGACTCGCAGGAATAAATTGTATTTTATAATATATTCAAACAGAAAACTGTTATATTAAATTGCAATAATATTTCACAATATTGCTGTTTTTATTTTATTTTTCTGATCAAATAAATGCCTCGGTGAGCTTAAAGATTTAAAAATCTTACTGACCCAAAACTTTTGAATGATAGTGTGTGCTAATATATGTTATATGAATAACATCTAAATGCACAGTGCTAAATGTTGCAGTCATTGGTTTTATTTGTTATTATTGAACTACTGGCAAAACACATGCTATATATTTTTAAGGGGAGATCGGGGCTAGTTGTCATGCTGGGTTTTATTTTTGTTTTTATCCAATATCATAATTTTTGTGTAATATCATATTTGTATAGTAACAACTGAGCACAGTACATCCAAGCAAACAAGCATTCAGACAAGAGTCAGCTGTTGAAGTTAGATTTGAACTGAAACTGTAGTCTCAGGGCAAGAGTATTGTCATAAATGTCAAACAGCAGAAAGCTGGCGTGTGTTTTATAAGTTATAATAGTACATAATTTATTAATGCAATTTCTGTTGCCTAAAAGAGTGGTAATTCATGTAGATTTGTTTTGATGCTTTTTCCATTTGTGCAATTTCATGATTTTTTGTTTAATAATTCTTTCTGTTTATCATATTATTTAGCTATTTAAACAACCATTAAATAGACTATAACAAATTTAAATACATGAGTGCCGTTTTTTTTACACAATAGGTGTTAGTGTGTGTGTGTGAGTGTGTGTGAGTGTGTGTGTGTGTGTGTGTGTGTTTGTGT